TGTAAGGTATTATGAAATTCTTAAATAAAGAGACCTGACAGCCCCACATAGCAAGAAGAAAAACTGAAACACTTTATTCTGTGACTTCACTTTACTAGTTAAATGGTACCTTTTTTTTCTTCCTTGCCCCATCTCCTCTCATCCCTAATGAAGTTGTTCCATGAATTAGAATAGCATAAGAGCAGTCCACAGATATATTTCCTCACATCATACTAAAATATCATGTATTTGTTAGGAAACTTGAAATGGAAAACAATTTCCTACACCAATGTTATCCAAATGAAACTGTAGTCATCCTTGGAGCCAACTGCATAATAGAAGCAAGCATTAGAATGGATGGCTTCCTGTGGATTTGTGTCCCATCACTGGCTTCTCCCATATCTAATCAGGACTATGCTCACACTGCTGCCTTTACTCAGGATAAGAAGACACTTCTTTCTTTCTCAGCTGTCAAGTGCCCATTGGATAAAGCATATGGAAATTTATCTTTAACACTGTTGCTTTTCCCTCAGGCTGGTTGAGAAAAGGCCACAAAAGTCAGTGTTTATAACAAGAAAAGAAAGCAGACAATATAGATGAATATACRCATACATTAATGAAGTAATGATTTCATTAGGCTATTTTCTTTAGGAGACTGAGCTGAAACMGTTTTGAAAAGCTTCAATAGCACAAGGAAAAGAGTAATAAACAATAAAAATTGTCAGCATGTTTATTCAATTTTGATGAAATTCAGTCTACAAAGCATTGAGTCAACTCTTAAAACAGAAATCCTGCAAACCATTTAACATTCTTTTTTAAACTAGTATGTCTAAAATGGACTACATGTTTAAGAGATTTGTTAAGCTACAGCGACACTTCGCCATGAGAACTAGGATTCAGATCTTATGAATTTAGGATAATAGATAAGCTGAGAGTAGTCAAGGTTTATTATTATAGTTGTGTGCAGCTTGATAATCAAAACTGTGGAAATGTCCGCAGCTGTACCCATCACATYCCTCCTGAACTGCTTCATTCACTGTTCTAAGCTGAATTGTTGAACTAAGTGGATTGTTGCCTACCATGGAACATACACAGAAATAATAGAGAATAGAATGCAAAATATCATTTTTGCTGCTGTATCCCCAAGTCAAAAATCATTGTAGGTGCACATGTTGCGTTTTAGTATTAAAACGAAGGTTTTCATATTATAGGTTATTATAGGGAGACTCAAGTGAACAATGTGGCAGATATAGACAATCAAAGTGTCTATTGAGGCATGGAGCTGCAATACAAAAGCAATCAGTGCAGAAAGCAAGGCAGTGACAATACAATTTTAAATCCATTTGAAAGGCAAACTACATCAGTTGAAACTTCTCAGGGTGAATGGGTATAAAACTCATTATCAGGATTGCAGCACGTCCCATGACACCACTTTATTTATTCAAATCAAGATAGGAGAATGTGAGTAAACACAGCATCCCTGCACTGAAAAAGTTCTTTTCAGATAAATACCTTGCCTATATTTGTTCTTTGTGCACTTTCCATGAGACTCATGCAATGTTCCTGCCCACTGTAGGAAAACAAGCCAAAGTAGAGAGCATATGCCTGTGAAGCATATTTACCATTTAAGATGGTCAGTGAACACATTCAGGGTCATAATGATACTGGCAAACACTGAATCCTTAATCTTGGCTTTTATCACTTAATGTTCTTGGTTGACTATTTCAGATGTCTGTGAAGCATCACAGAGTACTCAGTCATGCTTTTAAATGGGGACAGTTACTTGGCAGAGTCTATTCAGCCACAGTGTGCAGCAAGATACTTTGCATCATGACACAATTGAATGTTTTTACCAAATATTTTTACATTCCCTTTTTCCCTCAGGGTCTATGGTGTTTTCCCTTGTAGTTTTCAGYCCATTTCAATACGTATTTCCAGCCAGCACCTTTGATCCTAATGTAGACAAATCTACTTTCTTTCTCCTGTTTGAATGCAAAGGAGTCTTATAATTCCTGAAACATTTCAGATACACATGATCAATCACATTTGTATATTTTTCAGGATGGCAAAAAACTATAGAGATCACAGCATCAGTGATCACCAGTGTTTTGCATGCTGTTCAGGTTTTTGACACCAGCTGACAACAGATTTGAGAACTCCTGATCTGATACTGACTGAATCAATTCCTTACCATTGATCCATGATTTCCAGTGAGCTTTGCATCAAATGCGCATACAGTAATTGCTATTGCTTGCTCTGCTTCACAGTGAAATGCTAGTGAAGGATTGAGAATGTGCCTTTTCTCTGATCCTTGCTATAATCTGTGTAATTGCGATAATAGCAATCCAAACTATCTTGCCCTTTTCATTGTTGAGTAATTTGATTTGAAAGCAATGCCTATTCTCAGGGACAGTAACCTTAGGGAAGAGGTGAAACAGAGAGCTCATTCAGAATATACAGACTATCAGAAAGGTTTAAATAACTGAATCATTAAGATTCTATAACCTCCTCTCCATGACAAAGATGGTAATGAGAAGAGGAAATAGTGTACTATGCAATATATTCATTGGGAAAATTACTGTAATGAAACTTAAGCACAGGAAATAATACAAATGTAGCCTGTTCTAGTTATATCCTAAAGATTGACAATTTTGTTTCCTTTTCTTCCTGTCATTGTTATTCTTTTATGACAATCAAACCATGTTTTCATTTTAAAAGACACACTTCCTCAACGGACAATACAAATTTATCTTTAGAGAAAATTGTAAGAACAAGAATGCCATCAAGTGATCAGAGCATTTGTTTCCAAGTTTACCCCAAGTCTAAGGGGTAAATAAATCTTAAACTAAATCTTAAACTAAGGACCGTCTTTGGAAACACCTAAAATGACTTTGTATGTACCTTCTTGGACCATGGAGAAAATCTTCTATGTTACCAGATATTCTTCTTTGAAGGCTGTAACACCCAATGCACTCAATAAAAAAAATATTACTGATTAATTTATAATTACCATATAAAAGAATCAATAAACTTATAACAACCTGCACAGGCAATAAGCCTAGAACTATCACAGATCTGCCTATTTCCATGACTAAAAATTAAAAGACAGAATGCCTGACATTTTCCCTTTACAGTGAAGGAATTGTTTTTGGTTACTGCACTTAACTTAAGAAGAGAGAAGTGATTTCTCTCTTCAGATATTCCAAAGATGRTTCATGACCAAAGTGTCAATCAAAACTTTCCAGAACATTATCTTAAAAAGTGAACATTTTGAAAATTTTCAGCTTCAAATAAAAAATATAGATTTCCGGCCTTTGCTAAAGGAAACACACCAACAATCTTAGTTGTTTCAAATCAAAAGAAATAAAGTCATGTTAATTCAGTTTATTGGGTGTGATCACAAAACACTTTAAATACTATATGTAGTTTTCCTCTAAATAATAAAATGGTGTCAGTTGGAGGAAAAGTGGAAAATTCAAGATGAATATTTATGATAGGCAGACAAATACTTCACAATATCTAAGATGCTGAGCATAGTATTGTGATTGCTTCATAACATCAGGAAACAACAAATTTGCAGTTACAAGTTTTTTTTTCCAATTTATTCTGATGAACTTCTGTCAAATTCAGTCAAACTGAATTTTGAAACCATGAAATTCAAAAGAGAGGTTTGTCTGGGGCAACTTTCTTTTTAAAAAATCTAATTTTAATTGAACAATAAGTAGCACTTCAGGTAAGTTGAATTGCCTGAGCTTCTCTAATGATAAGAAATTGGCCCTTTTTTATTGACAAAAGTACAAAGATCATTATCATTAATCCGTCTCAAATTCCTCTCTGATCTAAACCAAGGCAGTTACTACAGCAACATGAAGGAGTTGCATTTGTGAAGGCACTAATTAAAATCATAAGTTTTCCTTCCACACAAATAATGATTACTTCAACCATTTACAATACTTGTGGACTTGTGGTGAGCAATAATAAAAAGTAAAGTGGTACTGGTAATTCTGTAGCTCACTCGTCTTTGGCATTGATTTAAAGTCTTTAAACTTATACTCTTAAACTCTGATTTAAATTAAAGTCTTTTATAATCATGAGATAGAAGAGAGAACAGTGCAAGTGTGTATCCAAGGATACATAAAATCTGATGTGAACTCAATGTAGGGAGGCACACTGTATGTAACTTTTTCCTAATCTTCATCTGAAAAGATGTAAAAGGCATTAAATAAACCACAGGCACATGTCATGAAAGAATTCCTAGTGCAGAGGCACTAATGGACTGGAAGGCTTGGAGATGCCACTTCTTATTCTTTAGACTCTCTCATAATGATGTGACACACTTGACAGCTGGGGATTTCTTTTCTCTTCCCATCTGGCTTGGTTCCTTTGAGCAGAATTCCAGCACTCCGTGTCTGGTGGCCTCTGCATCAATAAGCATCCTTATGTTTCTAGTGTTACATCCTCACTTGACATAACAACAAATGAAAGTGTTCTTCTGTATAACCATTTCTGTTTCACAGAGCTTTAGCAACTGCCAGCTGGAATAGGAAAAGACATTCTGATTGCAATAGTTGACAGACTAATGAGCACAGAGAGCCAACTAGTGCCAACAAGAAAGGACCAGGGCCTTATAGAAAACCTGTATGTTAACACCAAAATCCAACGCTAACCAAATCACTGAAGAAGATTCAAACCTCACCATTTCTCTGGCCCAGCTGTCACCAGGCACCACACCTCAATGACTGCTGACTATGATGCTTTTCAATGTTTTAATCAGTGCTTTTGTTTCCTAGATGTGGATAACGTGGTGGTTCTCAAGCACAGATCACAATGAAAATATTCTAGAAAGAGGAGAGGGAACAAAGTGAGCMACATCTGGATAATTCAGTACCCACTTACTTTCTGGAAAGCAATCTATAGGCAGCTTTGGGAACCACTCCCAACACAAGCTGGGACACTTAACATACCAATCACAGATCTGAAATGTAGGATCCTGTGTTTCATCTGCCAGCCACCTTCACATATAAGAATTTTCAGCCATTGAAATTCTCAAAAAAAGCAGGGGTACAATGAACTGCATATTCTTCGTGGCTTCATGTTCTCCTTTTCTTCTACCCCAGTGATGAGATGCTTGAAATAAGGAGAAAAGGGAAAGAGTAGTGTAAGGAAAGCTTTGAGAACTACTATCATAGTATACATAAGGTATGCAGTATAACATTTTCCCCACGTATAGTCTTGTTTTATGTTGGACTAATGCTTATTTCCAGCTGAATTCATGGTCAACACTATATACATACATCTGTAGAACACAGAATGTGCAGGTGACACCYTGTATGTATGTGAGTCTGGTAGTGGGGAATAGGGACAGAGGAGTTATCATGAAAATTTTTGTACCAAAGTCACACATTTTGATTTGGGTGGCATGAAAAGACTCTGTGTCTCTGGCAAGACATACAGAGCAAGCTGTTGTTCTCACTTATATTAATTTCCCACTTCCTAAGACTTCAATATAGCAAATTTCCGTGAAAGCTGGTCTGGAGAAGTATTCTAATGTATACAGAAACTTTTATCCAACACTTCACATGATATTACCAAGCATGTGACAAATCCTGGATGGAGCATTTATGACACCTGACATCTAGAGCATTCACATGCCTTTTCAATGACAGCTGCTGAGAAGAAATAGCATCCTCCAGCTGCACAACTTTATCCTTCCCTCACTTGTGAATTGAGACATTTGGCTTTAAAGTGGCACTCTGTACTGTACTCTTAAAACTGCAATTGTCACTTGATGAAAGGAAGCCAAATGCTCCATCAGTGACATCTGATGGCAAATAAAAACCTACTTCCTAAGGGCAAAATGGGTAGGATGCAGCCATATCATTCTTTCCTCTTATTAAATCAGACTATCAGTGGGATTAGCTATCAAGCAGTAGACACATGGACTCCACAAAAATATATGGAACAGAAGCAGGGTACAAAAGGCATGCTCTTTCTCCCAGCTGAGCACTGCGGCATTCTATGAATAAATTAATGTGATTAGTCTTCCAAAGAAAGTCTTAGGAAAACAGTTGGTGCTAATGCAAGGTCAGGTACCCTATCACCTTAAGCCCAGCCTTCACAGCGGGCTGAAACCACAGGGAAGAGAAAGAAACAGCAGTTCCTTACTTACTGGATTCACCTGCAGGATAAATTTTAAAGAACACAAACGTATGCACAATAATTGCCAGATTACAGTCAAACAAAGAGGAAAAGCATGACCAGATGAACAAAAAGTCTGAGTTTGTTCATTCTTTCCTCCCACAGCTGCTGTCTGGCCACCATCTCCTTCTCTAGTCTAATTAGCAGGCCAAATTAAACCCTCATGTTACTCAGTAGAGTCTGCATGTGGCATACATTTGCACTAATATGCTATGGTAGAGATTTTCTCAAGTGGCTTTCAGTTGGTATTTAGATACTGAAGGAGTTTTTTTTCAGAAAATACCACGTGCTCCTAAACCCAGTTTTTCCAAATAAGAACTAAGATGTCAAAGACAATCCAGAGTCTTGCTTAACCAATGTGATATGATGAGATGTTGGCTTACTGGATTAGGGGGAGCAGTGGATTTTGTTTACCTTGACTTTAGGARGGTCTTAGGCACTATCTCTCTTAACATTCTCACAGAGAAGCTGATAAAATTAGTGCTAAAGAAATGGTCAGTATGGTGGAGGGTAGTGATCAATGGCACAAAGTCCATCTGGAGGCCAGTCTCTAGCGGTGTCCTCCAGAAGTCAACGTTGGGGCCAACACTGTTTAACATCTATTAGTAACCTGGACGATGGGACAAAATGCACCTTAAGGAAGTTTGCACATGAAAGGGAACTGATATAGCTGATATACCAGATGATACAAGATATACGAGATACCATTGCTATTCAGAGGAACTACACAGGCTGGGGAAATGGGCTGAGAGAAACCTCATGAAATTTGGCAAAGGCAAATACAGGGTCCTGTATCTAGGGAGGAACAATCCCATGCACCTGTACGGGCTGGAGGTGACTTGCTGGAAAGCAGCTCTGTGGAGGAAAACCTGGAAGTTCTGGTGGGCAAGCTGAACATGGGCCAGCAACGTGTCCCTGTGGCAAGGGTGGACAGGAGTATCCTGGGCAGTGTTAAAAGAGTAAGCCTGGCATATGTAGGGAGATATTTCTCCCTCTATATTTAGCACTAATGAGACCACATCTGGACCACATCAGTCTGCTCTGACTTGTTCAGACTCCCCAGTATAAGACATGTACTTACTGGAGCAAATCCAACAAAGGGCCACAAAAATCATTATGGGAATGTAGCATATGTCATACAATGAAACACTGAGAGCTGAGACAGTTCAGCCTGGTAAAGAGAAGGCTGAAGGGGATCTTAACAATGCATATAAATATGTGAAGGGAGAGTATAGTCCAGTGGATTCTAATCCATGACTAGTGACAGGAGAAGAAGCAAGGATCACCACTGAAAACCTAGGAAAATCCACTTATGAACACAAGAAAACACTTCTCTGTGAGCTGAACATTGTGGTTCAATGTGGTTGAACAGTGCAATAGGTTGCCCAGAGAAGTTGTGGAGTCTCTATTCCTCGAGAGATTCAAAACTCAGCTACACAATAACCATGGCAATCTGCTGTAGCTGAGCCTGCTTGAGTTGGGGTATTGGATACCTTACCTTACATACCTTACAGCATCTCCAATGACACAAGGCACCTATGTTTAGGGCCTTTAGTTKTTTACTGTAAGTTAAGCTAAGAGATTTCTGGCTTTTTTTATACTGTATCTAAGACAGAATAAACTTGTGTTATTTTGTTTATGTCAACCAAAAATAAAAAATGCTACTAATAAAAAAAATCAAAATATTAATAGTAGCTTTTCATTATTTCTTAATCTTTCCTTTATTTATTCTTCTGACGCTATTCTCGAAATCTAGCTAAATTCCAAAGAGAGTCGAGCAAAAAGATTCATTTTGGAATGTAAGTGACCATAAGGTCAAAGGTAGAGCTCCTCTCCTATCCCACCTGACCAAAGTGAAGCAGTTTAGTTTGGAGTTTCCACTGTAAAAAGAAATTGTCTCAAAAGACTATCCATGTTGCTGCTACACCTGCCCTACAGAAACAACATCTGCCATGGAGCAAATTCAAGGAGACACAGAGTCAGTAGAATCCTTCCACTCTTATCTACTTTACTGTTTAAGAAGAAGTTTCTCACTGTGATAAGATTGTTTTTTGACTGTTTTTTTTATACAGTGATACATCTTGGATAGCAAGGAGACAACACTACTGTTTGCTATCAAGGCAATTGCACAAAGAAGGCCACATCCTGTGTACCACGGGTGATGAAAGTAAATTTGGGCTCTCCGAGGCAGATGTCTAGGACAGATCTCAAACTAGAAGTGTCTTACATAAGAAGGACCTATATGGAGTTTGAGAAAGGAGAAGGCACATGTGAGTGCAGTACATCTGACTGCACAGTGAGCCTGGGCTTCCCTGGTGCTCCAGCCAAAAGCACCACACAATTTACCTTAACTGACCCCAGTTAACTCACAGACCATTTTATTCTAGAACATGCATCCTGTGAATTCCCCTAGCAACTAGGTAACAGCAAGCAAAATATTCTCTGGCAAATGCCCATTAAACTTCACAAAATGTTCCTCTGCCAAAGAGGCTTTATCTCTAGTTTGTAGTCTCATTTTTTAAGCATCCTGCAGTACCAGATAAGCTTTACAAAAGCTGTTCATTATTTGATGTTTCCTTTGTTCAGAAAAAAAAAATGACAACAAATAAATTTGGGGAAAAAATAGGCACCACTTTGATATTTTCAGTGGTGCTATTCAGAAGACAAAGGAAAAATACATCTTTAACATCCTTGCCCAGAATATTAAAGTCCTGGGATTTGCCAGATTTGGGTATAGAGAGCTTCATTATCAAAGGCACAGTAGTCCTTCTGGTCTATACTCTCCTGAACAGCATCCTATATGTCACAGTCATTTTCTGGGAAACCAATTTTTATCGTCCAGAGAAAGCTATTAAAAGTAATCTGGATCTTACTGATATAGCTCTATAACATGAGAACTTTAAAAAGCCAGTAGGCCTTCTTAATTATTTAATGAAGATTTAGCACAGAGTATTAGCTCTTGGGCAGAGCTGTATATCAAGAATATGTGATATAATTTGTTACCAAAAGATGAACATTAATGTCTGTTGCCACCTGATGAGACACACTCAACCTGGGCAAGACTTTGCTAATAGTTTGCAGGGTGGGAGGATTTTAAATTTCCATCATTTTTAATGATTCATTTGTGCTTTAATAGGGATCCAGGCTGCACTTCACATCCTTGGGCCATTGAAGACATTTTACCCCCGTGAGTTAATCCTGTGTTCATTCTCCAAAATGAATATTCATACCATTCAAATGCAATTTTTAATTAACTGCACCAGCAGCATTACCATTATTGCACCTGAAAGATCCAAAGTCAGATCAGAGAAATGTTGCCACAATAGAATTCACTGAATTCTGCTCACATTCCCTTCTAAGGCTGATCACCTTTAAAGTAATGAGAATAAACTGTGGGATAATATAAGACAGATCTAATTAAGATAATGAACTGGAGATTATGAACATTGCTACTCTGTGTCTGAAGAATTTTAATATATTGGTCTATTAGAAGGTTAAGGCTTTACAAAAAGAAAAATATAGAAATATACAGCATGATTTGTTGGACAAAACTTGAGATTCTGCACCTTGAAAATGTATAAATGAAAGGAAGGAAAAAAAGGGAAATAAAGAGGTGTATTTTCAGAAATGCACAACATAATTCTTGTAATTAATTTGCTTAAGACTCACATAGAATACAGGATAAGCAAATTCTTCCTGAAAAGTGAGGARTAAAAGGAAAGCAGGCAGGGAAACATTATTACAAGCTGAGAGGTACTTATAAGGCTGTGCTGCAGAGAGTTTTATCCTAGCTTCCATCTGATATGGCTATTATGGCCTTGGATGAATTTTTCTTGAGGGAGCAGCCTAATTAGTTTGCCAGCAGTAGCAAGAAAAGGGGAGGGAGGGAGGCAAAGAGAGAGGAAGGGGGTAAATGAACTGTTAGGTAAAACAGAGTTGATATCAATAAGACCTACTGTTCAGGTTCTCTGAAGCTTCATCTTCCAAAACAAGGCAGCAGAGAGACAAATGCTTGAAGGTAAAACTAGAGCTCAACAATTTTCTGTAATCAATAGCAGATTGACAGAAATGGTCCTTCTCACATTTGCAGAGGTACTTTCTTCAAAGCAAGGGCCTGGGAACTGCTGCCTTGGAAAGATACCCCAGCTAATTCACTGTAATTATTCTGTCATGGATGAAGTTTCACTCTAGAAAGAGTCATTATTACTCTTCTAAAATAGAAAAGACAGCTTTCCAGCATATTTGTTTAAAAGAAAACCCAGGCCAGATTTTGCTGGCCCAGTGTGGTGCATGACCCAGTGTCAGTCCTGCACTTCAGTCACAACAACCACATGCAGCGCTACAGCCTTGGAGCAGAGTGGCTGGAGAGCTGCATAACAGAAAAGGATGTGGGGCTGCTGGTTGAAGTCGGCTCAACATGAGCCAGCAATGTTTTCAGGTGGCCAGGAAGGCCAATGGCATCCTGGTTTGTGTCAGAAACAGTGAAGCAAGCAGGACTAGGAAAGTGAGCATCCTCCTGTTCTCAGTGCTAGTGAGGACACATCTCGAATACTGTGTTTAGTTTTGGGCCTCTCACTACAAGAAAGACATGGAGATGCTGAAGTATGTCCAGAGAAGGACCATGAAGCTGCTGTTATTTAGTCTGGAGAAAAGGAGGTTCAGGAGGCTCCTGAAAGGAGGTTGTAGTGAGGTGSATGTTGGTCTCTTCTCCAAAACAATTACCAAGGAAAGTTCCTACAAGAGGAAATGGCCTCAAGTTGCACCAGGCAGATTCAAGTTAGATATTAGGAAAAATACCTACATGGAAAAAGTTGTCAAGCATCGAAACAGGCTGCCCAGGGAAGTGGTGGAGTCATCGTGCCCGGCAGTGTTCAAGAAACATGTAGACGAGGTAGGGACATGATTTAGTTGGCATAGTGTTGGATTTATGGTAGATCTTGAAGATCTTAAAGGTCTTTTCCAACCATAGCGACTCTATGATTCTATGATTAAGTCCATATCAGCCTCCTCCACCTTGCCTAGAGGCATGTCTAGAGAGAAAATTCATCACCAAGGCATCACTACAGCTCAAGCAGGCATAACCTACTTG